TAGGGCGGGTTTCCTTGTGTAATTGAGTTTCCTTCACTGCGCCAATACGTCCACCCGGACGGCCGTGTGAGATTTTGAACTAAAATCCGCACGGCCGTGCGGTCTTTTAATTCTCCAGAATTCTGCTTTTTTCACTTTTGGCCCACTTTTTCTCCGAAATTGCAGTTTTCACCCCAAAAGTTGTCAATTCTCCAATCTGCACCTAAAATACAAATAATAGCCATTTTAAGCACCAATTATCATTAAAACACACCAAAAGCTCCAATTAAAAGGTACAATTAAGTGTATAAATATACACTTAACAGGGAGGTACGGTGGTTATGGCGACGACTGTGGTGGAGGTGGTTATGGCGGTGGCCGTGGTGGAGGTGGTTTTGGAGTCTACCTCATCGTGAGGGAGGTACGAATCAAGGTTTACAGAATTTAGAATCGAGGTTTGGGAGGTAGCTGCCAACCCTCGAACCCGATAACGAATTGGAGCCGGTATTGATCTATTTTGTGCTGCCGACTTCCAAACGATGCCGTTTCGGAGTTCGAGTGCGGGTCGGAGGTGGGCTCGACGATGCCGTTTCGGAGTAGAAATCGAGATTGGTGTTTTCTGATGACGAAGACATCGGAGATGGCGTGAAGCTGGTTGAGTGAACTTTTTTGTTTATTTTGGAGAAGATGGCTTTTTTGAAAAGGTTAAGGATTGAATTGAATTTTTTTTAAAACTTCATTTTGGGCCATATTGAATTTGAGGGTGAATCTGTAATTTTTGAAATTTATAATTTCAAGGGCATTTTGGTCCTTTTGGGTCAAAAATACACCCACAGTCGCACAATCCGTGTGTGGAGCACATGATAAGCTGGTAGGGCCCTTGTTGCCTTTGACTAATATAATTTTCATAGGGGGTTATTGCTAATTTTTTTAACATGGGGGGTTTTTCAGCAATTTTAGATTACACAGGGATGGTTTTTGCAAAAAAACCTATTAGTTAGTGTACATTCATCATCTATATAAATTACTCCCTCAAATGGACATGTACAAACGTACATGTAAAAAAAACATGCGCAAAAGAGCATTCACGACAACGTTCTTAAAAACACGAACTACAATACTAGGACTTTAATATGCATCAACAAACAATAGCAAAAACACTAGATAAAAAAGATGGGGTTGTCTAGGGTCCGAGAGGGTCTGTACTACTCGGACCCAAACGAATAAATCTGATGCGTTGAAAATATTAAATAAATAATTATAACCGTTGATTTGAAGTACGATCCAAGTATGACTCAGTACGAACCTAGTTATTTATTAATTTTAGTACGAACCTAGTAAAATTAGATCGTACACATATCGTACTTCATCGTACTCCATCGTACTTCATGTAAAATTACTATATTACCATTACACAATTGGGGTTGTCTAGGGTCCGAGAGGGGTTGTACTTCTCGGACCATAATCAGCCAATAAAAATGCACCACATAAGATTAGTACGTACCCAGGACAAAATAGTACGATACCTACCTTATAAGTAAAATTACATAAAACCCCTTTTAATAAAAATGAAAATTTAATTAGGAAAATAGTAATTTAAAACTTAATTACAAATCAACAAATTTAAAATCATATTACATGGAAAAAAAAGGAATATCACGATCAAATCCAATTAGTTTTCTTAAACTTTAAACCTAATAACATCAGTCTCCATAATTCATAAACTATGGTTCCTCACACACAAAAAAGAAAAAAAACATCATCGATCTTTTCCTTCTTTCTGGCAAACTGCCTGTGATTCTTCTTGCCGTACGGCGTAGAGAAAGGTAAGACAAATCTGTTCATGTGTCCTGTAGGACTGGATGATAGCTGATCCATTTTATTTTCTTGACGGTTTTATCAACTGATGGTAACAGCGGTATTTTCTGTATCACAATTGATGATGCTAATATGTAGCTCACCTAGGGTAGTGTAGAAAATGAGCTGGGAGAGCAAAGCGGATCCGTAGCTTGACAACTTGATGATCCTGAGGTACCTACGATCATAGAACACATGAACTAAGCCGGGGGTTGATCCGGCGGAAACCCCTCCGACGCTCAAGTCAGACATGCTGATCATAGAAATAGTCCAGAGAATACGTATTTTAGTATTGCTCAGTTAATAGGACGTACCTTATGGAATGAGTTCAAATGTGTATTTATAGCTTAGTTGAGATTTTCGGGCCCAAACCTTGCTTGAAGGTGATTGGGCCTCGGTGATAGTGGTCTTCGATATTGGGCTCGTGGCCAGTAGGTAAATAATTTCTAGGCCCATTGGGTTGGGCTAATTAGGCATATCAAACCAATTTTCGGTAATCCGAAAACCATACCTTTTTCGGTCAGTAATTTTAGACCCTTCATATTGAGATGCCCGTAGTGTAAATGCCAAAACTTTGAGTCATCTTTTCCACCAGCAGCAAGAGCAAAATTTCCCACCATGCCAACTTCCAATGGGAACATATTGTTTTGAGTCATCTGGATATTAATCAGTGTATGGCCTGATTTCTTGTCTTTGATAACACATGAACAATCCGTGTGTGGAGCACACGATAAGCTGGTAGGGCCCTTGTTGCCTTTGACTAATATAATTTTCATAGGGGGTTATTGCTAATTTTTTTAACATGGGGGGTTTTTCACCAATTTTAGATTACACAGGGATGGTTTTTGCAAAAAAACCTATTAGTTAGTGTACATTCATCATCTATATAAATTACTCCCTCAAATGGACATGTACAAACGTACATGTAAAAAAACATGCGCAAAAGAGCATTCACGACAACGTTCTTAAAAACACGAACTACAATACTAGGACTTTAATATGCATCAACAAACAATAGCAAAAACACTAGATAAAAAAGATGGGGTTGTCTAGGGTCCGAGAGGGTCTGTACTACTCGGACCCAAACGAATAAATCTGATGCGTTGAAAATATTAAATAAATAATTATAACCGTTGATTTGAAGTACGATCCAAGTATGACTCAGTACGAACCTAGTTATTTATTAATTTTAGTACGAACCTAGTAAAATTAGATCGTACACATATCGTACTTCCTCGTACTCCATCGTACTTCATGTAAAATTACTATATTACCATTACACAATTGGGGTTGTCTAGGGTCCGAGAGGGGTTGTACTTCTCGGACCATAATCAGCCGATAAAAATGCACCACATAAGATTAGTACGTACCCAGGACAAAATAGTACGATACCTACCTTATAAGTAAAATTACATAAAACCCCTTTTAATAAAAAATGAAAATTTAATTAGGAAAATAGTAATTTAAAACTTAATTACAAATCAACAAATTTAAAATCATATTACATGGAAAAAAAGGAATATCACGATCAAATCCAATTAGTTTTCTTAAACTTTAAACCTAATAACATCAGTCTCCATAATTCATAAACTATGGTTCCTCACACACAAAAAAGAAAAAAAACATCATCGATCTTTTCCTTCTTTCTGGCAAACTGCCTGTGATTCTTCTTGCCGTACGGCGTAGAGAAAGGTAAGACAAATCTGTTCATGTGTCCTGTAGGACTGGATGATAGCTGATCCATTTTATTTTCTTGACGGTTTTATCAACTGATGGTAACAGCGGTATTTTCTGTATCACAACCTTGAAACATTAGATACCTAAATTACGTGATTAAGCATTAGATAAATTTGATGGCCAGATAAAATCGAGTACTGTTTTGTATCGGAAGATCAGATTAAGCACTTGGAATTGGGAATTTTGAGAATGTTCCAATCTGATGTCTTACCATATTTCTTGAAATTGCTTGCTAGTAGAGTTAATGCAAAGTCTGAAGCAAGGTTTCAATATTAAACATGAAAGCATGCTCTTTTCATTATGTGAGTTTCTAGTAAAAATAACTGCTGGTAAGTTTTTCCTCTTGTCTGTATAATTAGGTTATTTTCTGCTTTTCAAGTGGACATGGAAAATCTTTTAACAGAGAAATTACCTATGAATTGAAATCGTAGTTTTATATGAATTACGTTTAAGTGCTTGAATGCTCATTTATTGGTTGTTCATTTCAAGTTAGTATATATCCATTCTAACATACTCATTATATATATCTCATAGTGGTGTACTCGAAGATGGCCGAAGAGATTTACAGTCTGCTTATTTTCGATAGCAACAAGGGCTCAACGGGCGAGGTTCAGCTTTGATGCTTCAACTCTGTTATGAAGGCACCAACGCTCGAAGATCTCCGGTCATACCATTTGCAGGACCATGTTTCACTTTTTATGACTTATTTTTCTGAGATACCTCTGTAGTCACCTTCACTCGAACCTTATTTTTTTTCCTGATTATTTTTTGTAATTATGTGATGTTGCTCTAAAAACATGTTGATTGATTTACTTTCATGTGGCTTTGAGATGAAAATCTTTTGTTTTTGAAGGATACAAAAAAACTATATTATAGTAAGGCTTTTGCTGTTTTTAAGAATCCCACATGAATTTTTGTTCTTTCGGTTTTGAGGTATATGTATGATTTTGTAATGTATCCATACCCTAACATTTCAATATATATATATATATATATATATATATATATATATATATATATATATATATATATATATCACAATTGAACTGATGTCATTGAGATGTCATTGAGGTGGTGTTTGCTGCATCATTTTATTTTCTGGTTTATATAGTAAACTGATATTAGTACGGTCACTTTTCGTCTTCATATTTCAATATGAATAATTGTTTCTGGTTTATATAGTAAACTGATATTAGTATGGTCACATTTTCAGAAATATGAATATTGTGTTTTTTTTCCTTTCTAAAACTGGACTTTTTGATTTAATTCTATAGCCTATTTTGTAATCTATAATGTAAATACACATCAATGACACTATTTTGAATATGGAACAAACATTTGACGCATGCTGTTATTACTAAATAGTGTGAAGATATTACTTGGGCATTCAAATTATAACCTGTCCTTATTAATTCTTCATTCGCTTATAGAACAACAAATACATTTGTCTTTTCACATGAATTAAACATAATTATTCTCACAGTAAAATACTGATCAACCGCGAAAGAAACAATATGCTTAACATTACAATCTAATACAAAATTGAGATGTGTAAATTACAATAAATCCAAAACAAAGTTTATTGTAAAGTACCGTACGAAAAATATACCCAAAAATTAGTATTTTTTTCCCTTGGAGAATAAAGGCTACTGAAGTGGACAATAAGAGAAAGCAAGACGATGGCAGTCAAAGAAACTGATGCAGAATCAAGAGGAGGTGGGGTCATGGTGGTCGCATAGGGCTTTCATCATTGGTGGTTTGTGCACAAGCATCTGGCTGAGAAGTTGCACACGAGGGGGTGGTACCGTGGTGGGGGTGGCCGGTGAATTTGCCCTGCCACCAGCTGACGAGTCTATACTGTTACAGTTAAGTTCTGGCTGAGAGTGCAGTTATAGTAGTGGTTCCCGGCGGAATCGAGAGTGATATTCGCCGGTCTGGTGGTGATATAATACACAACATAACCACACTTACATTTTCAGATATAAAATGATGAACATAGGACAGCCTATCAACTCCCAAGTCCCAATTATAAAGACAATTATGGACTCCCACAAAAATTATTTTTAAACATCATAGCATACATTCCAAAATCAAAGCAAACATTCCAACTGACAACCTCAGAGAATAACCTCAGAGAAGTTAAATTCCATGTCATCTGCCCACACCTTATAACTCTATATACGGCCCATCTAACGGAGCTCCTCGAGGATTGATTATGGTACTTATCTGGTAACATCATAACAATAATAACATCTCAGTTTCAAAAATGACATAACATAACCAAAGCATGAGACGAGTAATAATATAATACACAATATCAACATTAATTTTATTATGAATTAATGAACAAACATGGACCTCATAATCCTGTTAGATGATTTCTCATTTTTAGCAGCTCCGCTGTCGGGACGGTCAGATTCTTTCCATCTTTGATCGAAATTTCGAACCCATCATGCTGTAAGTTCGGGCTGACATCATCCAACAAAGCGTCCCACTTGAGTGCCTTCTCTCTCTGGGAATCCACACGACCAGTACGGCTCGTCGCGAACCGATTTATACGTTTCTACAATTGGCTGGTAAGGCTTGTCGCCGCGTCGGACATTCCGCCGGTGATGTAAACCTGGGAACTCGAATTGCTCTCACCACCATTCCCACCATTGGATTGGTTCCCGGCACTTTTAACATAGGGAGGGCTCCTGGATTGTCTGGTGGAAGGGTTGCATACTGCGAAAATCAATTTAAGATTTTGAAAATCCAGTAAATCAATTTTGAAAATTGAAGATTTAATCCATGGTTCAAAGTAGAAAATAAGAAATGGACAAGATTTAGCAGAATAAGAGGGTTACTGTAAGACAAGGACTTAGCATGCAAACTTGCTCAATCCCATCGCCTATACACTGTGTATTCGACGCCTCTATATTCGCCCACCGCCGCAGCTTTTCCAAGGTCTGTCATCGGCCCCTAACAGCAAAAATCTCCTTGGCTCGCTCGAAGAAGCATTCTTCCCGCACTGGTATTAGGACGACCACTTCATCCCTTCCCGAAGAGTAGTTGAATTCCGAGGAATCAATATCAATTCTTACGAAATTGAAGAATTAGAGATGATTTGGGGGTTAGGGATGAGTTCATGGTTTTTGGGAAAAAATTATGAGAAATTATTTGGAGAGACTCGGATTTTCTTTTGGATTTTACTCGGATTATTTTTTTTTAGAATTATATGAGGTTAAAAGAGTAATTTAAACGAAGTACGATCTGTGTACGGTGTTGTACGATCTGTTTTTACTAGGTTCGTACTTTAATTAATAAATTCCTAGGTTCGTACTGATTCGTACTTGGATCGTACTTCAAATAAGTGGTTATAACTATTTATTTAATATTTTCAATGCACCTGATTTAATCGTTTGGGTCCGAGTAGTACATACCCTCTCGGACCATAGACAACCCCTGGGTTGTCTAGGGTCCGAGAGGGGTTGTACTTCTCGGACCTAAACGATTGAATTTGGACCGTATAAAATAATTAAAATTTAATCTCATCCATTAATTTACTAATACGACGTAGTACGATACTAGAGATTTAAAAATCGGGTTAATATTCGAGATACCCCTCAAACTAAACCTAATTAGATGTAAGACACAACCTTAAATTGAACATTTTAACTAAATCCTTATTTGTAAACAAAATTTGATTAACATTCTTTTATTTTTATTTAACCCGAAAATACCCTTAATATAACAAATTAAAACCTAGGTTTCTCTCTCTTCTCTCATTTCTCCTTTTCTCGTTCTTTCTTTTTCCGCCTCCCTACCACGGTTTTCTCTCTTCTTTTTTCAACCGTCCCACCCCTCTCAACCGTCCCACCCCTCTCTCTTTCTATAGTGTTGACTTGTTCGGCACGGGGCTGAAGAGGAAAGAGTTTCATGCCAAGACAAGTACCAGATCGAATTTGGAATTCGAGGGGGCAGGTTTTGTTGGCAAGAATGATGGGCGGCGGGAGGATGACGCGGAACGTGGAGAAGAGAAGACTCACTTTGCCATCGGATGAATCTGATACGACATATCTGTTTTTTTGTTTTTTTGTTTTTTTTTTCTTTCTTTTTATGTATCTTTAGTAGATCTGTTTTTGATGTTTTGAAAAAGAGAACAACAGATCTGCAACCAACTGTGGCGCGGCAATTCTGGAAAAGCTTTGTTCGGCGGCGCGGCGGACCTCGACTCGCCTAGGTCTGGTGCGGAAGGGGCGATTGCATCACTGTTTGTGCGTCTGGTTATGGAGCAGCAGGGAAGGGTTGCTAATTCGACATCGTTGATCTGCTTGTTGCACGTTTTCGACGGCGACTAGGGCTGGTTGTGAATTCATGGTACGTGTGTGTCTAATTTTTATGAGGCGATGACGGCTCAACGGTGGTCGGTCTTCGTCTGCTGGCGGCGCTCGGGTTTAAAACGGTGAAATTAGAATTTTCAAAATGACTACGGTAGTCTACAGGGTCTGACGGCGTTGTGAATCAAAAGATCGGAGCTAAGGTTCAAGAGGGCGTATCTAGGGTTTCAGGATGACTATAGTTGTCTACGGATTACTACAAGTGACTATGGGTTACTACGGATGACTACGGATTACTACAAGTGACTATGGGTTGCTATGGATGAAAGTGATATACATATATTAAGAGTGTGCTATGAAATTGGATACATGACTATGATGACTATAAACGATTACGTAACTATGGGTTACTATATTGTGATTCATATTCTGCATTTATCTATAAAAATCAACTAAATAGTTGTTAAGAATATACAAATAAAATTAAAAAAATATAAAAATATTAATTTTTAATATTATATCAGACAAATAAAAAAATACGAAAAAGAATTTTTTTTGAAAATGTTAAATGTAAAATAAAAAATGATAAATGCAATTTAAATATTACTTGGTGCAAATTTCATTTTTTGTATTGGAGGGCATTTTTGGAATGAAATTTATAAAGGATGTGAAGCAAAAGTTTAGTTTGACTTGTCATTTAGTTCAAATAAGTTTTGTCACTAGGGACCTATATCTTATTAAAGTACGAACCCAGTAAAAATCGATCGTACGTACATCGTACTTTATTTAAATTACTTAATTAACCTTATAAACTCAAATCAATATATTAAAAAATATCCATTAAAAAATATAATAATAATCATAATTAATTAACAAAATTACCCGACAAATAAAATCAAAACCTCTTCTTCCCCAAAAACAAAATTGATTGAGATTAAGAATAGAATCCCTAGTTTCTACGTCGTTTCATCATCTCGCCAAGAATCTGTTAAGTCGAATTTGTAATTTGACATCTAAACATGTGCATTTGAACTGAGGTTGGAGAAGTAGATCCAAAGACGCCACAAATATTGCTTACATGGTGGGTAGACCTATTGCCATGGCAAAGGCTGTACAAGAATGATTTTTTTTTTTCTTTTAATCTTTCGCTAAGATTAAAAGAAAAAAAGGTTGTCCAACAATATAAAATTACTAACAAAATAATTTCAACCTCTTTAACTTGAGAAAACAGCAGAAATACATCAAAATGCGTCAAACCACAAACTGCTGTAGAATTGATTAGTGTCTTTGCTGGAATATAGTGAAGAAGTTCCTGAGGAAAGGTATAATTGTACAATGTACATCAATGCATATAGAGGCTGTATAGCTAGGCATGCATTAAGATCGAGTACAGATATCAGCCAAATAGATTTAATGAAAAAAAAAAAATAGTATGAAATTGCTAGAACATGTCAGTGCTAATCGAAACCAATTTGTACGCCGAAATTAGATTATCTACCCGACGAGACACATTGGAGTGATTCCTATGAGTCATGCCCTCACCAGTTTTATGAACATGTAAATGATCATCTGCTATTTCCGTTCAAATATTATAAAGCATGGAACAATTTTCACAGACTTGTGCCTTAAATTCAAAACAACATTCATAATCTGATGCATTATTTTGTTCGGTTAAGATATTTGACCTCATGGCATGCATTTTTTGTTCGAAACATGCAGAAATCTCATCCCTTCATAACAATTTTTGTAAAACAAATTAAACAACGAGCATAAAATTTAGAAAAGCACAAAAAATTGGTTGTTTGCAGCACAAAAAAAAAATTAGAATGCTCAAACATTTTGTTAAGAACACAAAATAACCATTAAGACATGCACCAGAGGAGAAATTGCTCTGTACCTCACAACATAAGGTCCATAACATATAAATTGCCCTAATGTGGGGTTCCCCATTTTTGTTTCCAGTATTTAATACCAACAAAAAGTGGTTTATAGAAAATTTTAATCATATAGGAATTGCATCAAACACCTTGCCTGCGATACCCACGTACAATTGGATTTTTCGTTTTTGATATGCATATACAAGAACAGATTGACATACTTTCTCTACATGATGATTTCTTGTCCCAGAGAAGTTTGCCAGGAAGGGAGTTAATGATCGATATATGATGAATTTTCTCTAGAAAAAAAAAAAAAAAAAAACCGATTGATGATGATTAATTTTTTATTTTTTTGGAGAAGAACGATCGATGATGAATAAATGAACATAACGGAATTAGGTTTAAAGTATTAGAAGAAGCCTAATTGAATTTGACGTAATATTTATCTTTATTTAATATGATTTTAAATTTGTTGATTACTTATTAAGTTTTGGATTATTAATTTCCTCATTATATTTTAAGTTTAATTAAAGGGGGTTTTTTCGTAATTTTCCTTATATTTCAGGGTTCGTACATTTTGTTGCTGGGTACGTACTTATATGATGTGGCATATTTTTATTGGATAATAATGGTCCGAGAAGTACAACCCCTCTCGGACCTTAGACAACCCCAACTAATATAGACACACTTAAATAAATTAATAAAGTTATATATGATTATGAACATTGGCCCATTAACAAAGCCCGGCTCGTATAGTCATAGCCCATGATCTATATGGGCCCAAATATGCTTATTTTCATCTATTTTCACTATTTACACTAGATTATAAAACATTTGTAAAATCTGATATATATATATATATATATATATATATATATATATATATATATATATATAACTTGGAAATCATACGAGAGACGTAAACTACATTATGCTAATAATTTTGATCTACAGTTCGACACCACCAAATTCTTTTCGTAGTGGCGAACTGGGGGTAGAGAGGAGATGCAAAAGATTTTTTCTAAACATTTGTAAAATCTGATATATATATATATATATATATATATATATATATATATATATATATATATATATATATATGGGCCATTTTTTTTTTTAGAATATTTCGGACTTTTTTTTTGAGAATTGGGGTCATTTTATAATTATTTACAAAAATACAATAAAGCGTCGTTTACAACGACGCGTTTTAAGGGCCGTTGGATTGATCTGAGATTGACGGCCAGATCTCCCTCCTAATCTGACGGCCAGGATTGAAGACAAGATCTGACGGTCCTTAAAACGCGTCGTTTTGAAAGACGCGCTTTACGGACCGTTGGATCGAGCTGCGATCAACGGCCAGATCTCCTATTTTGTCCTCGTTATCTGACGGTCACGGATTGAAGACAAGATCTGACGGTCCTTAAAACGCGTCGTTTTGAACGACGCGCTTTGACCTGTCAGGGTTGAACGCGTCATTTAAAACCACGCGTTTTATGGACCGTCCGATCCTTCTCGATCCGACGGCCCTGATTTACCCGAATATATATATATATTTAATCCGAAAAATAATCTCCTTCACCTCATTTTTGCTGCCCTTTCTCCCACTGCTCCCTTCTTCCCAACAACAAATGTAAGTGTTCTTTGCTCTCTTTTTTTTTTTTTTTTAATTATTGTTTATTTGTAGTTTCTAATTTATATTTTAATTAATGTAGGTAATTTTAATTAATTTCAGCAGGTTACTTATTGAGGTAATTTTTTCACTTTTTCAATTATTATAGTTAAATAGGATTTTAGTTATTAATATAATTTTGTTAAATTTTTATTAATGGTGGATTAATGGTATTTTTATCTAGTAACTTATTAATTATTTGGAGATAAATTATTTATTG